CTACACCTTCCACCCCAGCCACTAGGTCCCGGATTCCCAAGCCCCCACCCACTGGACTCTGGCTCCTAAAGCAATCGTGGGAGCCCCAGCAGCACAGCAAGTGGATCCTGGCAACTGCAGCTGCTGGATTCCAGATTCTAGATTCCCCCATCCCTCTAGCCAGTCCCTCGATGTTGAAACCTCATCTACTGAAGGCAGACCCTGATATTCGAAGGCACTGAATCCCAAGCCTTTAATCCTTGGTTTCTGATCCAAATCCTCCGGACGCCAGATCCCAAATGTTCAGGTCCCAAGCCTAGATCCTGGCAGCTCAAATCACAGCATCCCACATCCCACGCACACTGGAGCCCACAGCCAGCTTCTCATGACATGAAATTGAGTGGTCAAGGGAGCCTGTTGGGGAGGAAGCCCGGGTCCTGGCTCCAGAAAACCCTGGGGGATTGGTCGGAGGTCCTGATACAGCTCATCACCGGGCAGAGATGCACCTGCTGCAGGCTGCACGGATGCTGGATTCCCCCTCACCTCACTGCCTCTGCATGGCTGCCCTGCTCCCCTGGCCTGGTCCTGTGGGGAAACTGTTCCCTCGAACCACCCCACTCCCTGCCTCCGCACACGTGACAGCATCTTCTATCCCCTTTCTGCTTTCCAGGCGAATATTCCCAGAGCTGTGTCCCTCCAGAGGGTCCAGTCACTCACTCCTGGGGGCTGGCAAGGAGACAGTCTGAGGCCAGGGACACATGAAGGGGCATCCCTACCCCAGCACTGCCAGCCCCTCCCCAGGTTTTCAGAGTTGAAAGCCACGAGCAAATCGGCAAAGACCACCCTTCCCTAAACCCAAACACCCAATGATGCAAAAAAAAAACAAAAACAAAAAACCCTGCAAATCCCCAAATTCATTCCAGATCTATTTTTCTACCAGAGAGAGGAGCAGAGTCCCCTCCCCATGCCCATACATTCTGCACTTCATAGTTGGATTCTGAGCTTAGGCAAATCGGGAGACCCCATGGAAGGACTTGGAAAGGGGAACTGGGATTTGGGGAGGGGCTGGAGGACTTCAGCACGCTTCCACCTCCTTCCACCTTCACCTCACCCCACCTCCCTGCCTGTGTGTGTCATTTCAAGGGAAAAGAACAAAAGGAATAAATTTTCTAAGCTCTTTTATTGTGGTTTTTACTGAAAAGGGGGTGAGTGGGCATGGGACCACCTAAGCTTACCCCTAAGGAAGGGACAAGGGGATGCTTCCCAACACACACAGTTCCAAGAGCCAGATGATTCCCTCATTGAGCCTCAGTTTCCACATCTATAAAATGGGAGCAGGGGAGGGTGTCCATGTTTATAACTCCTAAATTTTGTTGTTGTTGTTTTTTCAAATTACACAAGTATATCCATTTCTTAAAGCTGCCAGACTAAATTATCACAAACGGGGTAGCTTAAAATAATCGTGTGCGTGTGTGTGTGTGTGTGTGTGTGTGTGTGTGTGTGTGAGACACGCTCTGCAGCCCAGGTTAAAGGGCAGTGGTGTAATCATAGCTGACTGCAGCCTCCAATTCCTGGGCTCAAGCGATACTCCCACCTCAGCCTCCCGAGTATCTGGGACCACAGGGACCTGCACTGCTATGTCCAGCTAATTTTTTTTTTTTTTTTTTTTTTTTTTTTTTTTTTTTTTTTGAGACAGAGTTTCACTCTCGTTACCCAGGCTGGAGTGCAATGGCACGATCTCAGCTCACCGCAACCTCTGCCGCCTGGGCTCAGGCAATTCTCCTGCCTCAGCCTCCCAAGTAGCTAGGTAGTAGCCACCTCCCATGGTGCGCGCCACCATGGCCAGCTAATTTTTTGTATTTTTAGTAGAGACGGGGTTTCACTATGTTGACCAGGATGGTCTCAATCTCTTGACCTCGTGATCCACCCGCCTCAGCCTCCCAAAGTGCTGGGATTACAGGCGTGAGCCACCACGCCCGGCCAATTTTTTTTTTTTTTTAACGGAGTTTCACTCTTGTTGCCCAGGCTGGAGTACAACAGTGCAATCTCAGCTCACCACAACCTCCAGCTCCCAGGTTCAAGCAATTCTCCTGCCTCAGCCTCCCAAGTAGCTAGGATTACAGGCACGCCCCACCACATTTGACTAATTTTATATTTTTAGTAGAGACGGAGTTTCTCCATATTGGCTAGGCTGGTCTCGAACTCCTGACCTCAGGTGATCCACCTGCCTTGGCCTCCCAAAGTGCTGGGATTATAGGCGTGAGCCACCACACCCAGCCTAATTTTTTTTTGTTTTTAATTGAGACAGGGTCTCGCTCTGTCGCCCAGGCTGGAGTGCAGTGGCACATCTCAGCTCACTGCAGCCTGTGCCTCCTGGGCTCAAGTGGTCCTCCCACCTCAGCCTCCCAAGTAGCTAGGACTACAGACGTGTACCACCATGCCCAGCTAACATTTTGTTTGTCGGTTTGCTTGCTTGTTTGTCATGAAGTCTCGTTCTGTCACCCAGGCTGGAGTGCAGTGGCACAATCTCAACTCACTGCAACCTCTGCCTCCTAGGTTCAAGTGATTCTCCCACCTCAGCCTCCCAAGCAGCTAGGACCACAGGCGTGTGCCACCATGCCTGGCTGCCTTGTTTGCTTGCTTATTTATTTATTTATTTATTTATGAGATGGAGTCTCACCCTGTCACCCAGGCTGGAGTGCAATGGTGTGATTTTGGCTCAGTGCAACCTCTGCCTTCCGGGTTCAAGTGACTCTCCTGCCTCAGCCTCCTGAGTAGCTGGGATTACAGGTGCGCCACCATGCCCGGCTAATTTTTGCATTTTTAGTAGAGACATGGTTTTGCCACATTGGCCAGGCTGGTCTTGAACTCCTGACCTTAGGTGATCTGCCCACCTCGGCCTCCCAAAGTGCTGGGATAACAGTTGTAAGCCACCATGCCAGGTCTAATTATAATTATTATTTCTTTTTTTGTGGAAATGGGATCTCAGCATGTTGCCTGGGCTCATGATAGACCCACCGGTCTGTCGCCTGCCTATCTTCATACTGTATTCTCCCTCATATGTATCTGTGTCTCTCTGCCCAAATTTCCATCTTTTTTTTTTTTTTTTTTTTTTTTTTTTTAATCGAGTCTCACTCTGCCACCCAGGCTGGAGTGCAGTGACACGATCTCGGCTCACTGCAGCCTCTATCTCCCAGGTTCAAATGATCTTCCTGCCTTAGCCTCCGGAGTAGCTGGGACTACAGGTGCACACCACCACGCCTGGCTAATTTGTGTATTTTTAGTAGAGATGGGATTTCACCATGTTGGCCTGGCTGGTCTCAAACTTCTGACCTCGGCCTCCCAAAATGCAAATTCTATCTCTTGTAAGGACAGCAGTCATCAGATTGGTGCCCCACACCAATCCAGTGTAACCTCATTTTAACTTGATTATATCTGCAAAGACTCTATTTCCAAATAAGGTCACATTCACAGGTTACAGAGTTTAGGGCTTGAACATGTCTTCTTGGGGGGCACAGTTGAACCTGCAATGAGCAATTCAAATTCACTGTAGAAAAAAAATAGAAAATTCAGTGTGGGTGGGGTGGCTCTCACCTATAAGTAATCCCAGCACTTTGGGAGGTCGAGGCGAGAGGATCTCTTGAGGCCAGGAGTTTAAGACCAGCCTGGGCAAGATGGCAAAACTCTGTCTCTCCTAAAGATATAAAAATTAGCTGGGCATGGTGGGAGGACGCCTGTAATCCCAGCTACTTGGGAGGCTGAGGCAGGAGAATCACTTGAACCTGGGAGGCAGAGGTTGTAGTGAGCCAAGATCTGTCTCAAATGAAAAAAAAAAAAAAAATTCACACTTCTTTTCCTGCCAGCAGAGGTGTTAAAAATATATATTTTGATAGAATTCACACTTTTGTGTAACCCCTCTCGTGTGTACTGGGTGGGTTTCTCTGACCAAGAGAGTACAATAGAAGTGATCCTACATCACTTCCAAGAGTTCATTATAAAAGACACCGTCGGCTGGGCACAGTGAATCACTCCTGTAATCCCAGCGCTTGGGGAGGCCGAGGCGGGCAGATCAGTTGAGGTCAGGAGTTCGAGACCAGCCTGGCAAACATGGTGAAACCCTGTCTCAACTAAAAATACAAAAATTAGTTGGGCTTGGTGGTACATGCCTGTAATCTCAGCTACTCCAGAGACTGAGGCAGGGGAATCACATGAACCCAGAAGGTGGAGGTTGCAGGGAGGCAGAGGTTGTAGTGAGCCGAGATCGTGCCACTGCTTTCCAGTCTGGACAACAGAGCAAGACTCAATCTCAAAAAAATAAATAAATAAATAAAAATAAAGGCCAGCGCAGGGGGCTCACACCTGTAATCCTAGCACTTTGGGAGGCCAAGACGGGTGAATTGCCTGAGGTCAGGAGTTCGAGACCAGCCTGAGCAACAAGGCAAAACCCTGTCTCTACTAAAAATACAAAACGTAGCCGGGTGTAGTGGCAGCTGCCTATAATCCCAGCTACTCAGGAGGCTGAGGCAGAAGAATTGCTTGAACCCAGGGGGGCAGAAGGTGCAGTGAGCCGAGATTGCAACACTTCACTCCAGCCTGGGCCAAAGTGAAACTCGATCTCAAAAAAAAAAAAAAAAAAAAAAGGCTCACAGTGGCTGTAATCCCAGCACTTCAGGAGGCCAAGGCAGGTGGATCACCTGAGGTCAGGAGTTCAAAACCAGACTGACTAACATGTCTGTACTAAAAATACAAAAATTAGCTGAGCAGGGCGGCACACACTTGTAATTCCAACTACTGGGGAGGCTAAGGCAGGAGAATCGCTTGAACCCAGGAAGTGGAGGGTGCAGTGAGCCAAGATCACGCCAGTGCACTCCAGCCTGGGCAACAGAGCACGACTCCGTCGCCAAAAACAAAGAACAAAGACAAACAAATAAACAAAAACACTGTAGCTACCATCTTGATTATGGGTCATGTGCTCTCTCTCTCTGTCTCTCTTTCTCGTAACATTTGCTCTGAAGGAAGCCGGTGGTCATGGCATGAGCAGCCTTATGGAGAGGACCATGTGGTGAGGAACTCAGCTGACAGCCATGTAACTGACCTTGGAAGAGGATCTTGCTGTCCTGGCCAGCATCCCACTGCAAATCTACCAGGTGCATTCCCTGGATAGTCCAAGCTTTGTGAATCCCTCCACTGGAACCACTGGATCCCACTATCTGAATCTTGAATCTTAGACTCTTATACTTCAAACACTGAATCACAGGAACACCTGGTTAAGCTGCTCCTGAGTTCTGGATGCTCAGAACATGGGTGAGATGATGAATGTGTGTTGTGTTAAGCTGTCAAGCTTTGGCAGGGGGTAATTCATTACGTGGCTATAGCTGGCTAATAGGTATGCACCTACATGGATATGATTTTGTTGGTTTTGGTTTTGGTTTTTGAGACAGGGTTCTCACTCTATCCCCATCCCCGGCTAGAGTGCAGTGCTATAATCATGGCTCACTGCAGCCTCAAACTCCTGGGTCAGATGATCCTCCCACGTCACCCTGGAGTAGCTGGGACCACAGGCGAACACCACGACAACTTTTTTTTTTTTTTTATGGAGTCTCACTCTGTCCCCCAGACTGGAGCGCAGTGGCGCAATCTTGTGAGAGGTTGCTCACTGCAACCTCTGCCTCCCGGGTTCAAATTATTCTCCTGCCTCAGCCTCCCAAGTAGCTGGGACTACAGACACATGCCACTATGCCCAGCTAATTTTCATATTTTTAGTAGAGACGGGGTTCCACCATATTGGTCAGGCTGCTCTTGGATTCCTGACCTTGTGATCTGCCTACCTTGGCCTCCCAAAGTGTGGGGATTACAGGCGTGGGCCGTCACGCCCGGCCTACTTTTTTTTTTTTTTTTTTTTAAGAGACCGGGTCTTGCTCTATCACCAAGGTTGGAGTGGAGTGGCGCAGTCATAGCTCACTGCACCCTCTAATTCCTGTGCTCAAGAGACCTTCCCCCTTCAGGCTCCCTAGTAGCTGGGACTACAGGCGCACATGACCACAGCCAGCTAATTTTTTAAATTTTTTGTGGAAAAATTTCCCGCTTTGCTGCTTAGGCTGATCTGGAACTCCTGGACTCAAGTGATCCTCCTGCCTCAGCCTCCCAAGTAGCTGGGATTACAGGCACGTGCCACCACACCCAGCTAATTTTTGTTATTTTTAGTAGACACAGGTTTTTACCATGTTGGTCAGGCTGGTCTCAAACTCCCGATCTCAGGTGATCCGTCCACCTCGGCCTCCCAAAGTGCTGGGATTACAGGCATGAGTCACCGCAACCAGCCCACAATTCAATGTATAACAATCACATATTCATTGGTTTGGGGATCAGGAGGTGGACGTTTGGGAGGAAAGGGGCCATCCCACTGTCCGCCACACCCAGCGAGGTCACAGGGGCGTCTGTGACTTCATCGGCCCCTAGGTCCCCCAGGCAACGACCCTCCCACTGGACACTCCCATATGGTAGCTGGACCAGCAAACGCCTCTCAGGGATTCGAAGCCCAGTGTCCTAACTTCCTCCATGGGCGCTCCACCTGGGGAACCTGAGAATGCTTGCTCAAGGATCCAGACGCTGTTTAGGAAGGTCAAGACCTTACTCACCAAACCCCCTCCTCCGCCCCCACCTCCGCCCCCACCTCCGCCTCCACCCAGCTCCTGGAAGCCTGGCTGTACACACGTGTATGGGTACGTGTTTGGGCACATGCATGACAACAGTCTTGAACATCTCCTGTCACAGCAGGTGAGTTTTGGAAACGCAGGTGTCCCAGCACCTTTGGTTGGCCCTGCAGGGAGAGGCCAGGTTACCCACACCCTCTCTGGGGCCCACTCCCCTGCTAGCAGACCTAGAATTCCACCTTGAAGCAGGGCAAGGTGGGAAGGCAGTGTGCGGTGCTTCACACCTGTAATTCCAGCACTTTGGGAGGCTGAGGTAGGCAGATCACCTGAGGTCAGGAATTCAAGACCAGCCTGTCCAACATGGAGAAACCCCATCTCTACTAAAAATACAAAAATTAGGCTGGGCACAGTGGCCCACGCCTGTAATCCCAGCACTTTGGGAGGCCGAGGCAGGCAGGAGTCCAAGGTCAGGAGTTCAAGATCAGTCTGACCAAGATGGTGAAACCCTGTCTCTACTTAAAAAAAAAAAAAAAAATATATATATATATATACAAAAAAAATTAGCCAGGCATGGTGGCAGGAGCCTGTAGTGCCTGTAATCCCAGCTACTCCAGAGGCTGAGGCAGAGAATTGCTTGAACCTGGGTGGCGGGGGTTGCAGTGAGCCGAGATCACACCATCGCACTCCAGCCTGAGTGACAAGAGCAAAACTCTGTCTCAAAAAAAAAAAAAGAAAGAAAGAAAAGAGAGTCTATATGATATCAATTCCTTTGGTAGAGATGTGATTTATTACTCAGTATAAGGACAAGCTTTGGAAGTACTCCCTACTTGGGAGGCTGAGACACAAGAATCACTTGAACCCGGGAGGCAGAGGTTGCAGTGAGCAAAGATCGCACCACTGCACTCCAGCCTGGGCAATAGAATGAGATTCTATCTCAAAACAAACAAACAAACAAACAAAAAGCAGAGTTGGGGGAACAGAATGGGTCTTTCACCAGCAGGTCGCGCCCTAGAGGTGTGTTTGGGGAAGGTGCCCCCGCCTGGCAGAGGATGAGGGAGGGCCGGGTCTGCCCTGCAGGTGCTGGACACAGGAGAGCAGCTGATGGTCCCCATGGAAGTCCTGGAAGTGGATAACGAGGGGGCCCTGTGGAAGTTTCTGCTCTCAGGAGCTATGGCCGGGGCGGTGTCTCGCACAGGCACAGCCCCTCTGGACAGAGCCAAGGTGTACATGCAGGTGCGTGGAGGTCGGGGCAGGATGGAACCCAGTGCTGGAGCCACTGGGGAGGGCTTGGGGTGGGGACAGATAGAGTTGGCATGGATGGAGTTCAGGGTGGGAGTGATGGCTGGAGTTGGGGTTCTCCTGGACTGGCTGAGATTGATGGTGGTGGTGGAGCTGGTGTGGACACAGCTTGGAGTCGAGTTGGAGAAGAGGTTGGGACAACTTACCAGGGACAGGGAACTATGCTGGGTGGGGGTCTTTGGATGAGTTTAGACAAGGTAGGGCCTGGGTGCGGTGGCTCACGCCTGTAATCCCAGCACTTTGGGAGGCCGAGGCAGGCAGATCACCTGAGGTCAGGAGTTTGAGACCAGTCTGGCCAACATGGTGAAACCCTGTCTCTACTGAAAATACAAAAATTAGTGGGCGTGGTGGCAGGTGCTTTTAATCCTAGCTACTTGGGAGGCTGAGGCAGGAGAATTGCTTGAACCTGGGAAACGGAGGTTGCAATGAGCCGAGATCACACTCCAGCCTGGGCAACAGGGTGAGACTCCGTCTCAATTAAAAAAAAAAAAAAAAAGGAGGACTGGAGCCATCCCAGGCGGGATATCTCACAGCTGCTGTCCCAGCTGGTCGGGAGGCTGAGGCAGCGGAGTCACTTGAACCTGGGAGCTGGAGGTTGCAGCCAGACGAGATTCCGCTACTGCACTCTAGCCAAGGTGACAGAATGAGACAGAGCGAGAGAGAAACAGGAAAGGAAAGGGAAAGGGAACGAAAGGAAAGGAAAGGCAGAGAAAAAGAGCGAGGGAGGGAGGGAGGGAAGGCAGGAAGGCAGAAAGGCAGGAAGGAAGGAGGGGAGGAAAGAGAGGAAGGAAGGAAGGAAGAAGACAGGTAGGGAGGGAGGGGACTGGAGAGAAGATGAGGAGGAGGGATGAGGTGGGAATGTGGGTTGTTATTACTGGCTTTCAGTCTGTGTTGTGTGCATTTCAATAATTGGCCAGGGAAGGAGCTGAAGGAACGGGGATGGACGGGGATGGGTTGGGGTTGGGTGGCTGGGGAGGCGAAGGTGGGACTGCGCTTTGGGGCGGGGATGGGGACAAAGACAGAGGCAAGCAGGGCCTCCTCCAGGGTCCTCCCTCCACCCAGGTCTACTCCAAGACCAACTTCACCAACCTGCTCGGGGGGCTACAGAGCATGGTCCGGGAGGGGGGCCTCCGCTCCCTGTGGCGGGGCAACGGCATCAACGTGCTCAAGATCGCTCCCGAGTATGCCATCAAGTTCTCCGTATTCGAGCAGGTGGGGAGCGAGGGGTTTGCTTCCCCCAGCTGAAGCCCAAACCCCTCCCGTACCCCTCAAAGTCCAAGCCCGTGTTCGAGACCCACATTCACCCTCCAGAGCCCAGGCTTCTTTCCTGCATGGGTTCTGTGTGGGAGGGTGCCCGGCTTCTCTCTCACCCTCGCCTCTCCTGTCCCAGTGCAAAAACTACTTCTGTGGAATACAAGGGTCCCCGCCCTTCCAGGAGCGTCTCCTGGCCGGCTCCCTGGCTGTGGCCATCTCCCAGACCCTCATCAACCCCATGGAGGTAAGAGAGCATCTGGGCCACAGGTGAGGAAACACCGTGGAAATTAGTTACCCAGGTTGCTGGGGCCACTTCCGCCTCCTCCTTCCCCCTCCTCCTCCCCTCGTGTTTTCCCCCTTCTCCTCCTCTCCTCTCCCTCCTCCTTACTCCCTCCTCCCCCTTCACCTGTTCTTCCTCCTCCTGCTCCTCTCCTCCTCCCTTCCTTTCTGCCCCCTTCTCCCCTTCTCTTTTCTCCCTCCCCCTCCCTTCCTTCCCCCTCCTCCTCTCTTCTCCTACCTCTCCTTCCTCCCCTTCACCTCTTCCTCTTCCTCCCCTCCTTCCGCCTCCCCTCCTCATCCTTTCTTCTCTTCTCCCTCCTCCCCTTCACCTTCCTCTCCTCCTTTCTTCCTCCTCCTCCTCTCGTCTCCCTCCTGCTCTCCACTCCCTCTCCCTTTCTCCCTCCTCCTCTCCCTCCTCCCCGTCACCTCTTCACTGCCCTAAGGAGCCTCTGTTCTCTACCTATCTCCTCCCTTTCTTTGCCCCCTAATCCTTGATCTTTTTGCCATAAAGTTGGGCCCACCTCAGCCTCCCAAAGGTCTGGGATGACAGACGGGAGCCTTCTTCCCTCACTTTCCTGGCCTTTGCCAGCATTTGTGCTTCAGAACTCAAAATTCAGAGGGCATCCCAGAGAATCGGACACATCTGTGTCTGAAACCCAGCTCTTTGCCTTCCTGAGCCTCACGTGCCTTGTTTGTAGGGTGGGGACAATGACCACCCCTGAGGGTCACTGACAGGATTTAATCAAAGGAGCTGCCTTGTTCCCCACCATCCCCAGGTGCTGAAGACCCGGCTGACCTTGCGCCGGACGGGCCAGTACAAGGGGCTGCTGGACTGTGCCAGGCAGATCTTGGAGCAGGAAGGCACCCGCGCCCTTTACCGCGGCTACCTGCCTAATATGCTCGGCATTATCCCCTATGCCTGCACGGACCTGGCCGTCTATGAGGTATGGCTCCTGCAGAGGGGGTGGCGGGGACCACCAGAGGCCAGGCTCCTGGTGAGCTTTCTCCTGGCCCCCTTCTCTTGCAGATGCTCCGGTGCTTCTGGCTGAAGTCAGGCAGGGATATGGGGGACCCCAGCGGCCTGGTCAGTCTGTCATCTGTGACGCTGTCCACGACCTGTGGCCAGATGGCCAGCTACCCACTGACGCTGGTGCGCACCAGGATGCAGGCCCAAGGTCAGCCGGCGCCCCCACCCCCGCCAGCAGCCACTGCGCATGCCCCTTCCCCGCCCCGTCCGGGTGGTCTCAATTTCTCATCCAAAACCGACTCCTGCACGCTGCCAGTCTGATCCCGGCCCACCTTCGATGGCTTATTTGGGTGGAAACACCTGAAATCTAAGAGATTTGGGGAGTGTGCGCAGGGCTAGTGTGGGAACACTTTCAAGAGTGGTGGATGAAGGACCTGTTTTGAGATTGGTGGATTGTTTTGGGGGACTGAGTCCATTTGAGGCAGTCAGATTTGATTTTTTCTTTTTATTTTTAAAGACAGAGTCTCACCCTGTTGCCTGGGCTGGAGTGCAATGGCACGATCTTGGCTCACTGCAATCTCTGCCTCCCGGGTTCAAGCAATTCTCCTGCCTCAGCCTCCGGAATAGCTGGGATTACAGGCATGTGCCACTATGCCCAGCTAATTTTGTATTTTTAGTAGAGACGGGGTTTCACCACCTTGTTCACGCTGATCTCGAACTCCTGACATCCGGTGATCCACCCACCTCAGCCTCCTAAAGTGCTGGGATTACAGGCTTGAGGCACCATGCCCAGCCTTTTTTTCTTTTCTTTTTTTTTTTTTTTTTTTTTTGGGGGGGTGGAATCTCACCGTGTCGCCCAGAGATGGGATCTCAGTTCACCACAACCTCTGCCTCCTGGGTTCAAGCGATCTCGGCTTCAGCCTCCCAAGTACCTAATTTTTGTATTTTTACAAATTAGCCCAGATCATTTTTGTTTATTTATTTATTTATTTATTTTATTCACCTGGATGCAGGTGGGCTAAGGCCGAATAGGGTGTTCGCCTATTTATTTATTGAAATGAAGTTTCACTCTTGTTGCCCAGGCTGGAGTGCAGTAGCATGATCTGGGCTCACTGAAAACTCAGCCTCCCAAATTCAAGCGATTCTCCTACCTCAGCCTCCAGAGTAGCTGGGATTACAACGCACATGCCACTATCCCTGGCTAATTTTTGTATTTTTAGTAGAGACAGGATTTCACCATGTTGGTCAGGCTGGTTTCGGACTCCTGACCTCAGGTGATCCGCCCTCCTCGGCCTCCCAAAGTGCTGGGATTAAAGGCGTGAGCCACTGCCCCTGGCCGGATTTGGGAAGTTCCCAGGATTACAAAGGAAATGGCAATGAGTTTTAAGGAACCCATTAAGACTTAATGTACTCACCTAAAAATCCAACCCCAGCCCTAAAATTTATCCTAATAAAAATCACTAAAACTGGCCAGGCATGATGGCTCACACCTGCAATCCCAGCACTTTGGAAGGCCAAGATGGGCAGGTCACCTGAGGTCAGGAATTCAAGACCAGCCTGACCAACATGGAGAAACCCCGTCTCTACTAAAAATACAAAATTAGCCAGGTGTGGTGTCGGACACCTATAACCCCAGCTACTTGGGAGGCTGAAGCAGGAGAATCGTTTCAACATGGAGGCAAAGGTTTTAGTAAGCTGAGATTGTGCCACTGCACTCCAGCCTGGGTGACGGAGCAAGACTCTGTAACAAAAACAAAAAAATCACTACAACTCACATCCATCTCCCAATGGACCCTTACAAACTTCCCCAATGTGACCCTGATTCCCCAAACTGGTCCCAAAGACCAACACCCCAAACGTGACCTCCCAGCTTCTCCAAATCAGACCCAGTACTGAATTGCCTCCAAAAGCCAACATAGTTTCTAAACTCACAAAGTCTGACCTTTAAACTCCCCAGCACTCACACCCACTTCTCCCACTTCTCTGAGAACTCCCCAAACCTGATTACCTCCCAATGAACTCAGCTTCCAAAACAATCCACAAGCCTCAAAATGGGTCCTTAGTCCACCACCCTGATTTTTTTGTTTGTTTTTTGAGACAGAGTCTCACTCCCGTCACCCAGCCTGGAATGCAGTGACTCACTGCAACTTCCGCCTTCTGGGTTCAAGCAGTTTTCCTGCCTCAGCCTCCCAAGTAGCTGGGACTACAAGTGCATGCCACCATACCCAACTGATTTTTGGAATTTTAGTAGAGATGGGAGTTCACGATGTTAGCCAGGCTGGTCTCGAACTCCTGACCGTAAATGATCCATTCCCCTTAGCCTCTGAAAGTGCTAGGATTATAGGCATGAGCCACCAAGCCCAGCCACCACCCTGATCTTGAAAATGTCTTCATAGTACCCCTGAGCACATTCCCAAAATCAGCAGATTTCAGATGTTCCCTCCTAAAATAAGCTCTGATGTTTTCTAAGATGTTCCCAGGCTGGGCAACAGATTGAGACCCTGTCTCTGCAAATAATAATAATTTTTTTTTTTTTTTTTGAGACGGAGCTTTGCTCTTGTTACCCAGGCTGGAGTGCAATGGCGCGATCTCGGCTCACTGCAACCTCTGCCTCCCGGGTTCAGACAATTCTCCTGCCTCAGCCTCCTGAGTAGCTGGGATTACAGGCACGTGCCACCATGCCCAGCTAATTTTTTTTGTATTTTTAGTAGAGACGGGGTTTCACCATGTTGACCAGGATGGTCTCGATCTCTTGACCTTGTGATTCACCCACCTCGGCCTCCCAAAGTGCTGGGATTACAGGCTTAAGCCACCGCGCCCGGCAATAATAAATTTTTAAAAATTAGCTGGGACGTGGTGGCTCATGCCTGTAATCCCAACACTTTGGGAGGGCAAGATGAGTGGATCACTTGAGGTCAGGAGTTCAAGACCAGCCTGGCCAACATAGCGAAACTCTGTCTCTACTACAAATACAAAAGAATTAGCCGTGGTCCCAGCTACTTGGGAGGCTGAGGCTGGAGGACTCCTTGAGCTCCTCCTCTTGGGAGGTCGAGGCTGCAGTTAGCCGTGATCGTGCCACTGCACTCCAGCTTGTGCGACAAAGCTAAGAGGAAGACCCTATCCCCACCCCTGGCCCCTAAGAAAATTTTCTAAAATGAATGATGAAAACTCATACTCAGAAACTCCCCCACTCCTCCTAAAATGAACCAATTTCTGGCCGGGTGTGGTGGCTCATGCCTGTAATCCAGGCACTTTGGAGGCCAAGGCAGGCAGATCACCTGAGTCGGGAGTTCAAGACCAGCCTGACCAACGTGGTGAAACCCCGTCTTAAAAGAAAAATGTAAACTAAAAATGAACCAGTTTATTCTAAGACTCTTCAAAACTCCTTTCCTACTGACCCCAGGGCCCCTACCCATGGCTTCAGCAACTGCCCAAAACATTCCAAACTTCTAGGAGGCTGGGTCATCACTGGTCTAGTCCTGATTTTGCCTATGTCCCTGCAGACACCGTGGAGGGCTCGAACCCCACCATGCGCGCAGTCTTCCGGCGGATCCTGGCCCAGCAGGGCTGGCTAGGGCTGTACCGAGGCATGACCCCCACGCTACTGAAGGTGTTACCAGCAGGTGGCATCAGCTATGTGGTGTATGAAGCCATGAAGAAAACCCTGGGTGTATAGGCTCTGAGCTGGACGACAGCCTAGGCTGAAATGGGATAGGCGGACCTAATGACCCCTGGCCCCAAAGAGCCTTCAAGGCCTCAAGGTTCAGGCCCTGGAGCAGTTTTTGGTGGCAAAAGCAGGCTCAGGGTTGCCGGCGGAGTTGCTCGGTCAGAAGATTCCTGAGGCTCCCTCCCCAGGATGTAGCCTGAGACAAGAAACTTCGACTGCTGTCTGGGTCCTTGTGGGTCCACCTGGCTCCAGGGTGGAATGGTGAACATGGCAGACAAACAGGAATAAAGAGATAGTTTTGGCTGAAAGTGTCTGGATACCTGGGCCTAGGAGTGGAAATGGGTGCATGAGATCCCTGGATCCAGCAGGGGTGCTGGGGACCTTGGGACTCTGGGTCCTGAATGGGAATCTGTGTCCAGGAGAGGAGATAGGACCTAGGATAGGAGCTTGAGGCTTGGATCCCAGGGCCTTATGCGAAGGGGGTAAGGGGTGTGAAGTGAGGGGCTGTGATGCCTCCATCCAGGTTGTTGTGGACTCGGGTAGGGGCTGGTTCCTTGAGTCCTGCAAGAGAATTTTTTTTTTTTTTTTTTTTTTTTAATATAGAGTCTCACACTGTTGCCTGGGCTGGAGTGCAGTGGCATAATCTCGGCTCACTGCAACCTCAGCCTCCCGAGTAGCTGGGATTACAGGCGCCCGCCACCACGCCCAGCTTATTTTATGTATTTTTAGAAGAGACGTGGTTTCACCATGTTTGCCAGGTTGGTCTTGAACTCCTGACCTCGTGATTCGCCCGCCTTGGCCTCCCAAAAGGCTGAGATTACAGGCGTGAGCCACTGCACCCGCCCTTCCTGCAAGAGCTGGAAGCTCTAGATGGGTGGAGGGCGAGAGAGAAGAGGGCACAGGGGATCCCGGGTTTCCTGCTCTCCGGTCTCCCCATCTCCGGAAGCGCTCGATCTCTAAGGCTTCAAGCAGGCCACGTGCCAGGCCTACCCAGCCAGGCCCCAGGGGAGCTAACCCAGACGTCAGGCCCGAGTTCGGGCAGCCGGTCACCACCGCCCACGTCGGCTGCCATTCACTCAAGCTCCCGCTAATCCCCTCTCGCAGTCTGGTGGCTGACTCCGCCCCAATGCAGCGGCGCTTCCACTGGCTCCCACCAAAACTAAGCGCCTTGATTTCCTTCCTTCCCATTTGTCCAGACCAGTGTCAGTTCCGAACACCCACCCATGTCGCTCAGCCATTGGTTTAGAAGTCAGGGATAGAAAAGGATTCTGGTTAACAAGGGAAGCAATTAAAGTCCAAAGCCAACCTCATCACCCAGAACTCATCAGGGATTGGATTAAGTTAACTACCCATCTTTACAAGCACCGCCCCTCACGTGCATTCATTGGCTTGCGCCCACGACTATCAAAACGAACACCCACCCAGCCAGTCCAAAAGAGTCTTTCACTAGGCCCTGCCTTACAGTCCACGTGACCCTTCGGAACCGTCAATCTAGTTCTGAAGCCGCCCCGCGAATCTGGAACTCGCGCTTCATTGGGCCTCTTGCCTTCGCAGAAACCCGTCATTTGCCCGCCCAGCACCGGCTACTCGCAGCTATTGCCTCTGAGAGCTGTCGGTCACCCTGAGCCTCCCGCCCACTGCCCCTCGTTGCATTCCGATTGGCCACCTCCTTCAGAGCCTGCGATTGGTGTCCGGGGTGCGGCGGCTGCCTCCCACTGGCCCGTCGGAGCTGTCCGTCACGCCGGCGGCGGGAGGGGGCGACCCTCTCCCCCCTCGTCGTCTTCCCAGCGGCTGGGTTCCCAGAGTGCTCCGCGGCCGTGTGGAGCGAGGCCTTGTTCCCGCGTTGAGCCGCCGCCGCCGCCGCCGCCGCCTCCTCAGCTTCAGCCTCCGCGCCAGGCCCGGCCCCGCCGCGCCATGTCGGACTACAGCACGGGAGGACCCCCGCCCGGGCCGCCGCCGCCCGCCGGCGGGGGCGGGGGAGCCGGGGGCGCCGGGGGAGGCCCTCCGCCGGGCCCGCCAGGCGCGGGGGACCGGGGCGGCGGCGGCCCCGGCGGCGGCGGCCCGGGCGGGGGGTCGGCTGGGGGCCCCTCTCAGCCGCCGGGCGGAGGCGGCCCTGGAATCCGCAAGGACGCGTTCGCCGACGCGGTGCAGCGGGCCCGCCAGGTGAGGAGGCCGAGGGCCTGAGGGGCGCGCTCGCGGTGGCGCTCGCGCGCGGACGGGGGAGGGGGCGGGGGTCACGTGCGCGCGCGCGCGCGGGGTCGCGGAGGGGGGGCTGGGGCCGTCGCGGGGTCACGTGGGCGGTAGGCGGGGGCCTGGCCCTCCCGCGGCTCCTCGAGTGGGCTCCCTGCGGGTGACCCCCCTGCAGAAGGTAGGGGCGCACTGGGGGTCACCAGGAGCCGTCCTGGATGTGCAGGCGCCCCGGAGCTTGGGGACGCACTTTTGGGACTACCTCACCCCTCCCGTCTTAGGACACGCCTGGAGGCAGGGGTCCACCTTACCGGGCGGAGGGTCTTTACACTCTCCTCCATATCAGGGCAAAGGGCAGGTGTGTGTCCCCAACTCAATCCATTTCTGTCCTCTCCCTAGGAGGAAGGGACATTGTGGGGGTGGGAGGGACAGTCCTTTCTCTTGAGTCGGGAAAGTAGATGGGGGACTTGTCTAGGGCTGAACACTTGGGCGAAATGGGGTAGATGAGCATAGGAACTGGCTTTTGGTTGGTTTCGTGGCTTGTAAGCATGGTCTGTGTCTTTGGGGGAAAGAGGGGAGGATCTCCCACCACCGTGTCTTGAGGCGTGATGACAACAAGGAAGTGTCACATGCTTCTAGGACTGACCTCTCCAGCTCCATTTGCAGCCTCTCCATGGCGTGGAGGGGTGGGGGTCGGTAGAATGGGAGGACTTTGCCGCCTTTCGAGAAACAGGCTCCAGGGCTGTCCCCATGCCTCCGGTGCTGGAGACTGGCTCCTCCCAAGGTGGGAGGTCCTGTTAGGTGAACGCCTGTGTTCTGGCCCTCTGTGGTCTCTGACTTCCTCACCCTTGGAGTTGGGTGGGTTCTAACATGCATTTGGTCTGATTGCCCAGGGAACTGTCTTGATTCTGGGGCAGCTTGAACGGAGGGAGCTGTTGCTGTCAGTTGGTGGGGAAAGGCCCCTTGTGGGCATCCCATGAGCTTTGACTCAAGGGCAGCATAGATTTTTCTGTGGAGACTGGTGGAAAGGGAGATTCTTTTTTTTTTTTTTTTTGAGACGGAGTTTCGCTCTTGTTACCCAGGCTGGAGTGCAATGGCACGATCTCGGCTCACCGCAACCTCCGCCTCCTGGGTTCAGGCAATTCTCCTGCCTCAGCCTCCTCAGTAGCTGGGATTACAGGCACGTGCCACCATGCCCATCTAATTTTTTGTATTTTTAGTAGAGACGGGGTTTCACCATGTTGACCAGGATGGTCTTGATCTCTTGACCTCGTGATCCACCCGCCTCAGCCTCCCAAAGTGCTGGGATTACAGGCTTCAGCCACCGCACCCGGCCGGAAAGGGAGATTCTTTAACCCAGACTCTGGATTTTAAGTTTGCTGGATTGAGGTTTCTTTAAAGTTGATCTTCACGTGTCTGAGATGTAGCTTGTATCCCAAAAAGTCTTGTTTTGGGTGTTTTGTTTTGATTTTTGAGACAGAGTCTCTGTCACCCAGGCTGGGATGCAGTAGTGCAATCTGAGTTCACCACAGCCTCTGCTTGGGTTGAAGTGATCCTCCTGCCTCAGCCTCCGAAGTAGCTTGGATAAGTGTGCACCACCACACCCAGCTAATTTTTGTATTTTTAGTAGAGATGGGGGTTTCACGATGTGTCTGCCAGACTGCTCTCAAACTCCTGACTTCCAAGTGATCAGCCCACCTCGGCCTCCCAGAGTGCTAAGATTGGATTACAGGCATGAGCCACCTCATTCAGCCATCCAGAGAGTCTTGTTTTTGTCAGATGAGGATTTCATATACCTCGAAGTGATCACTTTCCTCAAATTTTTTCAATAAATCGATACAAAGATTTTGAGAGTGAAGAAGATAGGGGAAAGTTGAACTCTTCAGCATCCCAGGAGAACTGAGCTCCCTCCTTGGCACCCAGGCCTCTGTTCCTTTAACCCCTGGGACCAAGTCAGTGTGGTTTATGGGCTGGGCACAATTTTTTGTTTGTTCGTTTTTTTGAGACAGAGTCTTGCTCTGTTGCCCAGACTGGAGTGCAGTGGCCACAATCTAGGTTCACCACAACTCTGCCTCCAGGATTCAAGCAATTCTCCTGCCTCAGCCTCCCAAGTAGCTGGGAGTACAGGCGTGCGCCACCAACGCCCAGCTGATTTTTTTGTATTTTTAGTAGAGACGGGGTTTCACCATGTTGGCTAAGCTGGTCTCGAACTCCTGACCTCATGATCCTCTCGCTTCAACCTCCCAAAGTGCTGGGATTATAGGCATGAGCCACCGCGCCTGGCCTGCTGGCTACAATTAAGAAACAAATCCCAGCAGAAGGGAAGAGGGGAATTCTGATATTCCCGGGTAACTGGTGAGAACCTTGAGGCCCCGGGTTCAAAACTCCTAGGATGTCTTAACCCACAGACTCTTCCCTGAATTGGAGGGCCAAACACCAGGACTTGATGGGCTTTCGTAACCAGGAGATGTTCTGAGAAGTTGAGCTGGGCGCCGTGGAGGGTTGGTTTTTGTGGTAATTCTTCTGTGCTTAACTACTTTATTCTAGATCGCAGCCAAAATTGGAGGCGATGCTGCCACGACAGTGAATAACAGCACTCCTGATTTTGGTTTTGGGGGCCAAAAGAGACAGTTGGAAGATGGAGGTAACTCCCTGCTGCTTCGTTTAGTTTAGGAGGAAGGGCTGGGGGCAGAAAGAGGTGTTTTGTTTGAGTGTGGTTCAGAGCGGGTGGGTGTCGCTGCTGTTTGGTCTTTTAAAACCTCAGCAGTCCCGGCTTTGTTAATTCTTTTTGTTCCGTCTGCCATCCTGACGTATCAGGTGGCAGAGAGGAGGGCAGATTGATTGTGACTGGGTCGAAGTTATAAGTTCCCAAGATGATTCCTCCCCTTCTGGGAGGCTGAGGCATCCTGGAGCAGTTACTGAGGCTTGATGTGAAGTTAGCCCAGCCCTGGGGCGCACTCTGTGACCCCAAGTAGCTGGTGTGGCCAGCGATCAACTCCTGACCAACTCTACTGTTACTGGGACACCCCTCTCTGCTAGAGGCGAGTCCTGTCCTAAACCGGGAGGACTTGGGTGCCTGGTAGTGTTTGCGTGTTCTGAAGGTATTTTTC